TCTCCCAACTGAGCTATTTCGGCTTTATGTTGGACCTCGTCCTGGCTTGACTGAGATAAAAATTGTTCATGTTTTTTTCTAACCATCAGCACATAGCAGTTGCTTAGCCCGGTAGCATCAACCAAAGCGGTACTCTGGCCATGAGCTGGCGAAATCAGAATTTTATACAAGCATCCAATTGCTTATAATGTGCACTTTATGGCCCAAAATCACTTGGTTCCAATGCTCTTATTGCCAAAAGGGAAAAAAAAACAATCCAATCGACATGCGAAACCGGATCGGACCAGGGACCTTTAGATCTTCAGTCCAACGCTCTCCCAACTGAGCTATTTCGGCTTTATGTTGGACCATGTCCTGGCTGGACAGAGATAACAAAAAAATTGTTCATTTTTTTCTAACCATCCAGCACATGGCAGTTGTAGCCGGTAGCATCAACCAAGCGGTACTCTGGCCATGAGCTGGCGAAATCAGAATTTTTACAAAAGCATCAATTGCTTATAAAGTGCACTTTATGGACCAAAATCACTTGGTTCCAATGCTCTCATTACCAAAATAGGAAAAATAAAAACATCACTCCACATGCAGGAAACCGGGATCGGAACAGGGACCTTCAGATCTTCAGTCTAACGCTCTCCCAACTGAGCTATTTCGGCTTTATGTTTGAGCAAGTCCTGGCTGGACAGAGATAAAAAAAATTGTTCATGTTTTTTCTAACCATCAGCACCTGGCAGTTGCTTAGCGGTGGCATCAACCAAGCGTACTCTGGCCATGAGCTGGCGAAATCAGAATTTTACAAAAGCATCAATTGCTTATAAAGTGCACTTTATTGCTCAAAATCACTTGGTTCCAATGCTCTCATTATCAAATAGGAAAAAAGAAAAACAGTACTCCACATGCCGAAACCCGGGATCGAACCAGGGACCTTCAGATCTTCAGTCTAACGCTCTCCCAACTGAGCTATTTCGGCTTTATGTTGGACCTCGTCCTGGCTTGACTGAGATAAAAAATATTGTTCATGTTTTTTTCTAACCATCAGCACATAGCAGTTGTAGCCGGTAGCATCAACCAAGCGGTACTCTGGCCATGAGCTGGCGAAATCAGGAATTTTTATACAAGCATCAATTGCTTATAATGTGCACTTTATGGCCCAAAATCACTTGGTTCCAATGCTCTCATTACCAAAATTGGAAAAGAAAAACAGTACTCCACATGCCGGGAAACCCGGGATCGGACCAGGGACCTTTAGATCTTCAGTCTAACGCTCTCCCAACTGAGCTATTTCGGCTTTATGTTGGACCAAGTCCTGGCTTGACTGAGATAAAAAAATTGTTAATGTTTTTTTCTAACCATCAGCACATGGCAGTTGCTTAGCCGGTAGCATCAACCAAGCGGTACTCTGGCCATGAGCTGGCAGAAATCAAATTTATCAAGCATCAATTGCTTATAATGTGCACTTTATGGACCAAAATCACTTGGTTCCAATGCTCTTATTGCCAAAAAAGGAAAAAGAAAAACAGTACTCTACATTAAACCGGGATCGGAACAGGGACCTTTAGATCATCAGTCTAACGCTCTCCCAACTGAGCTATTTCAGGCTTTATGTTTGAGCCGTCCTGGCTTGACTGAGATAAAAAAAAAATTGTTCATGTTTTTTCTAACCATCAGCACATGGCAGTTGCTTAGCCGGTAGCATCAACAAAGCCGTACTCTGGCCATGAGCTGGCGAAATCAGAATTTTTATACAAGCATCAATTGCTTATAATGTGCACTTTATGGACCAAAATCACTTGGTTCCAATGCTCTCATTACCAAAATAGGAAAAAGAAAAACAGTACTCCACATGCAGGAAACCCGGGATCGGAACAGGGACCTTCAGATCTTCAGTCTAACGCTCTCCCAACTGAGCTATTTCGGCTTTATGTTTGGACCTCTTCCTGGCTGGACAGAGATAAAAAAATTGTTCATGTTTTTTTCTAACCATCAGCACATGGCAGTTGTAGCTGGTAGCATCAACCAAGCGGTACTCTGGCCATGAGCTGGCGAAATCAGAATTTTTTACAAAAGCATCAATTGCGCATTAAGTGCCTTTATGGCCCAAAATCACTTGGTTCCAATGCTCTTATTATCAAAATAGGAAAAAAGAAAATCAATTTAATGCCGAAACCCGGGATCGAACCAGGGACCTTTAGATCTTCAGTCTAACGCTCTCCCCAACTGAGCTATTTCGGCTTCATGTTGGACCTCGTCCCTGGCTTGACAGAGATAAAAAAATTGTTCATGTTTTTTTCTAACCATCAGCACATGGCAGTTGTAGCCGGTAGCATCAACCAAGCAGTACTCTGGCCATGAGCTGGCGAAATCAGAATTTTATCCAAGCATCAATTGCTTATAATGTGCACTTTATGGCCCAAAATCACTTGGTTCCAATGCTCTCATTACCAAAATAGGAAAAGAAGGACAGTACTCGACATGCCGAAACCCGGGATCGGACCAGGGACCTTTAGATCTTCAGTCTAACGCTCTCCCAACTGAGCTATTTCGGCTTTATGTTAGGACTCAAGTCCTGGCTTGACTGAGATAAAAAATTGTTCATGTTTTTTTCTAACCATCAGCACATGGCAGTTGCTTAGCCGGTAGCATCAACAAGCGGTACTCATGAGCTGGCCATGAGCTGGCAAAATCAGAATTTTTACCAAAATAGGAAAAAGAAAAAAAAGCATCAATTGCTTATAATGTGCTATTTCGGCTTTATGTTTGGCTGGCCAAAATCACTTGGTTCCAATGCTCTAGCGGTATTAGCCAAAAAAGGAAAGCATCAATTGCTTATAAAACAGCCCAAAATCTTAGTTCCAATGACATGCCAAAATAAACCCGGGATCGAAACCGGGTTGAACCAGGGACCTTAGATCTTCAGTCTAACGCTCTCCCAACTGAGCTATTTCGGCTTTATGTTGGACAACGTCCTGGCTTGACAGAGATAAAAAAATTGTTCATGTTTTTTTCTAACCATCAGCACATGGCAGTTGTAGCCGGTAGCATTAGCTGGCTGGCATCAACCAAGCGGTATGGCCCAAAATCTGGCTCTCATTACCAAATGAGCTGGCAGGGACCTTTAAATCAGAATTTTTTACAAAAAAAAGCATCAATTGCGCATAGCGGTATGCTGGCACTTTATGGCCCAAAATCACTTGGTTCCAATGCTCTCATTACCAAAATAGGAAAAAGAAAAAACAGTACTCCATGCGGAAACCCGGGATCGAAACCAGGGACCTTTAGATCTTCAGTCTAACGCTCTCCCAACTGAGCTATTTCGGCTTTATGTTGGACCTCGTCCTGGCTTGACTGAGATAAAAATTGTTCATGTTTTTTCTAACCATCTGCACATGGCAGTTGCTTAGCCGGTAGCATCAACCAAGCGGTACTCTGGCCATGAGCTGGCAGAAATCAGAATTTTTAAAAAAGCATCAATTGCTTATAATGTGCACTTTATGGCCCAAAATCACTTGGTTCCAATGCTCTCATTACCAAAATAGGAAAAAAGAAAAACAGTACTCCACATGCAGGAAACCCGGGATCGGACCAAGGACCTTTAGATCTTCAGTCTAACGCTCTCCCCAACTGAGCTATTTCGGCTTTATGTTGGACCCAAGTCCTGGCTTGACTGAGATAAAAAAAAAATTGTTCATGTTTTTTTCTAACCATCAGCACATGGCAGTTGCTTAGCCGGTAGCATCAACCAAGCGGTACTCTGGCCATGAGCTGGCGAAATCAGAATTTTTACAAAGCATCAATTGATTATAAAGTGCACTTTATGGCCCAAAATCACTTGGTTCCAATGCTCTCATTACCAAAATAGGAAAAGAAAAACAGTACTCCACGTGACGAAAAACCGGGATCGGACCAGGGACCTTCAGATCTTCAGTCTAACGCTCTCCCAACTGAGCTATTTCGGCTTTATGTTGGACCTCGTCCTGGCTTGACTGAGATAAAAAATTGTTCATGTTTTTTTCTAACCATCAGCACATGGCAGTTGCTTAGCCGGTAGCATCAACCAAGCGGTACTCTGGCCATGAGCTGGCGAAATCAGAATTTTAAAAAGCATCAATTGCTTATAATGTGCACTTTATGGCCCAAAATCACTTGGTTCCAATGCTCTCATTACCAAAATAGGAAAAAGAAAGTACTCCAAATGCCGAAACCAGGGGATCGGACCAGGGACCTTTAGATCTTCAGTCCAACGCTCTCCCAACTGAGCTATTTCGGCTTTAAGTTTGACCTCGTCCTGGCTTGACAGAGATAACAAAAATTGTTCATGTTTTTCTAACCAGGCAGTTGCTTAGCTGGTAGCATCAACCAAGCGGTTTTCTGGCCATGAGCTGGCGAAATCAGAATTTTTCAAAAGCATCAACTGCTTATAATGTGCACGCCCAAAATCACCAACTAGGAAAAAAAGGACAGTACACCACATGCCGAAACCCAGGATCGGACCAAGGACCTTTAGATCTTCAGTCTGGCTCTCCCAAGCTATTTCAGCTTTATGTTTGACCCTGGCTTGACTGAGATAAAAAAATTGTTCATGTTTTTTTCTAACCATCAGCACATGGCAGTTGCTTAGCCGGTAGCATCAACCAAGCGGTACTCTGGCCATGAGCTGGCGAAATCAGAATTTTATACAAGCATCAATTGCTTATAATGTGCACTTTATGGCCCAAAAATCACTTGGTTCCAATGCTCTCATTACCAAAATAGGAAAAAGAAAAACAGTACTCCACATGCCGAAATCCCGGGATCGCTCTCCCAACTGACGGCAGTCCTGGCTGGACAGAGGGACCTAGCCGGTAGCATCTCTCAGCTCTCAAATTTTTACAAATGCATCTGCTTATAAAGTGCACTTTATGGCCCAAAATCACAAAATAGGAAAAAGAAAAACAGTACTCCATGCGAAACCTAGGACCTTGAACTTCAGTTCGCTCTCCCAACTGAGCTATTTCAGCTTATGTTGGACCTGCCCTGCAACTTGACATGATAAAAATTGTTCATGTTTTGAACCACATCAGCACATGGCAGTTGTAGTCGTAGCATCAACCAAGCGGTACTCTGGCCATGAGCTGAAAGTAAACAGAATTTTAAATAGCATCAAGTTATAATGTGCACTTTATTGCCCAAAATCACTTAGTTCCAATGCTCTCATTAAAATAGGAAAAAGAAAAACAGTACTCCATGCCGAAACCCGGATCGGACCAGGGACCTTTAAATCTTCAGTCCAATGCTCTCCCAACTGAGCTATTTCGGCTTTAAGTTTGACCTCGTCCTGGCTTGACAGAGATAACAAAAAATTGTTCATGTTTTTTCTAACCATCAGCACATGGCAGTTGCTTAGCTGGTAGCATCAACCAGCGGTTTCTGGCCATGAGCTTGAAATCAGAATTTTTACAAAAGCATCAATTGCTTATAAAGTGCACTTTATGGCCCAAAATCACTTGGTTCCAATGCTCTCATTGCCAAAAAGGAAAATAAAACAGTACACGACATGCCGGAAACCCGGGATCGGACCAGGGACCTTTAGATCTTCAGTCTAACGCTCTCCCAACTGAGCTATTTTGGCGTTATGTTTGACCAAGTCCTGGCTGGACAGAGATAAAAAAATTGTTCATGTTTTTTTCTAACCATCAGCACATGGCAGTTGCTTAGCTGGTAGCATCAGCAAGCGGTTTTTTTCTGGCCATGAGCTGGCGAAATCAGAATTTTAAAAAGTATCAATTGCTTATAATGTGCACTTTATGGCCCAAAATCACTTGGTTCAATGCTCTCATTACCAAAATAGGAAAAGAAAAACAGTACTCCACAAAACCGGGATCGGACCAGGGACCTTTAGATCTTCAGTCTAACGCTCTCCTAACTGAGCTATTTCGGCTTTATGTTGGACCTCGTCCTGGCTTGACAGAGATAAAAAAAAAATTGTTCATCTTTTTTTTTCTAACCATCACCACATGGCAGTTGCTTAGCAGGTAGCATCAACCAAGGCGGTACTCTGGCCATGAGCTGGCGAAATCAGAATTTTTATACAAGCATCAATTGCTTATAATGTGCACTTTATGGCCCAAAATCACTTGGTTACAATGCTCTCATTACCAAAATAGGAAAAAAAGAAAGACAGTACTCCACATGCAGAAACCCGGGATCGGACCAGGACCTTTAGATCTTCAGTCTAACGCTCTCCCCAGCTGAACTATTTCGGCTTTATGTTTGACCATGTCCTGGCTGGACTGAGATAAAAAAAAAATTGTTCATGTTTTTTTCTAACCATCAGCACATGGCAGTTGCTTAGCGGTAGCATCAACCAAAAGGCGGTACTCTGGCCATGAGCTGGCGAAATCAGAATTTTTATACAAGCATCAATTGCTTATAAAGTTCACTTTATGGCCCAAAATCGCTTGGTTCCAATGCTCTCATTACCAAAATAGGGAAAAGAAAAACAGTACTCCACATGCGAAACCCGGGATCGGACCAGGGACCTTTAGATCTTCAGTCTAACGCTCTCCCAACTGAGCTATTACGGCTTTATGTTGGACCAAGTCCTGGCTGGACAGAGATAAAAAAAATTGTTCATGTTTTTCTAACCATCAGCACATGGCAGTTGCTTAGCCGGTAGCATCAACCAAGCGGTACTCTGGCCATGAGCTGGCGAAATCAGAATTTTAAAAAAGCATCAATTGCTTATAATGTGCCCTTATGGCCCAAAATCACTTGGTTCCAATGCTCTCATTGCAAAATAGGAAAAAAAGAAAAACAGTACTCCACATGCGGAAACCGGGATCGGACTAGGGACCTTTAGATCTTCAGTCTAGCAGCTCTCCCAACTGAGCTATTTCGGCTTTATGTTGGGACCAAGTCCTGGCTGGACTGAGATAAAAAAAATTGTTCATGTTTTTTCTAACCATCAGCACATGGCAGTTGCTTAGCGGTAGCATCAACCAAAGCGGTACTCTGGCCATGAGCTGGCAGAAATCAGAATTTTACAAAAGCATCAATTGCTTATAATGTGCACTTTATGGCCCAAAATCACTTGGTTCCAATGCTCTCATTACTAAAATAGGAAAAAGAAAACAGTACTCCACATGCAGGAACCCAGGATCGGACCAGGGACCTTTAGATCTTTAGTCTAACGCTCTCCCAACCAGCTATTTCAGCTTTATGTTGACCAGCGTCCTGGCTGGACTGAGATAAAAAAAATGGTTCATGTTTTTTCTAACCATCAGCACATGGCAGTTGTAGCGGTAGCATCAACCAAGCGGTACTCTGGCCATGAGCTGGCGAAATCAGAATTTTTATACAAGCATCAATTGCTTATAATGTGCACTTTATGGCCCAAAATCACTTGTTCCAATGCTCTCATTACCAAAATAGGAAAAAGAAAAACAGTACTCCACATGCTGGAAACCGGGATCGGAACAGGGACCTTTAGATCTTCAGTCTAACGCCCTCAACTGAGCTATTTCGGCTTTATGTTTGACCAAGTCCTGGCTGGACAGAGATAAAAAAATTGTTCATGTTTTTCTAACCATCATACACATGGCAGTTGCTTAGCTGGTAGCATCAGCCAAGCGGTACTCTGGCCATGAGCTGGCGAAATCAGAATTTTTACAAAAGCATCAATTGCTTATAAAGTGCACTTTATGGCCCAAAATCACTTGGTTCCAATGCTCTTATTGCCAAAAAAAAAAAAAATAACATCACTGAATGCGGAAACCCGGGATCGAACCAGGGACCTTCAAGATCTTCAGTCCTAAGCTCTCCCCAACTGAGCTATTATTTCGGCTTTATGTTGGACCATGTCCTGGCTGGACTGAGATAACAAAAAAATGGCATGTTTTTTTTCTAACCATCAGCACATGGCAGTTGTAGCCTGGTAGCATCAACCAAGCGGTACTCTGGCCATGAGCTGGCGAAATCAAATTTTACAAAGCATCAATTGCTTATAAAGTGCACTTTATGGCCCAAAATCACTTGTTCAATGCTCTCATTATCAAAAAGGAAAATAAAGAACATCAACTCGACATGCAGGAAACCGGGGATCGAACCAGGGACCTTTAGAACTTCAGTCTAACGCTCTCCCAACTGAGCTATTTCGGCTTTATGTTGGTCCAAGTCCTGGCTTGACTGAGATAAAAAAAATTGTTCATGTTTTTTTTCTAACCATCAGCACATGGCAGTTGCTTAGCCGGTAGCATCAACCAAAAGCGGTACTCTGGCCATGAGCTGGCGAAATCAGAATTTTATACAAGCATCAATTGCTTATAATGTGCACTTTATGGCCCAAAATCACTTGGTTCCAATGCTCTCATTACCAAAATAGGAAAAAGAAAAACAGTACTCCACATGCCGAAACCGGGATCGGGAACAGGGACCTTTAGATCTTCAGTCTAACGCTCTCCCCAACTGAGCTATTTCGGCTAAATGTTCAGACTACAAGTCCTGGCTTGACAGAGATAAAAAAATGTTCATGTTTTTTTCTAACCATCAGCACATGGCAGTTGCTTAGCTGGTAGCATCAACCAAGCGGTTTTCTGGCCATGAGCTGGCGAAATCAGAATTTTTACCAAGCATCAACTGCTTATAAATGTGCACTTTATGGACCAAAATCACTTGGTTACAATGCTCTCATTACCAAAAAGGAAAAGAAAGACAGTACTCCACATGCAGAAACCCGGGATCGGACCAGGGACCTTCAGATCTTCAGTCTAACGCTCTCCCAACTGAGCTATTTCGGCTTTATGTTGGACTCGTCCTGGCTGGACTGAGATAAAAAAATTGTTCATGTTTTTCTAACCATCAGCACATGGCAGTTGCTTAGCCGGTAGCATCAACCAAGCGGTACTCTGGCCATGAGCTGGCGAAATCAGAATTTTACAAAAGCATCAATTGCTTATAAAGTTCACTTTATGGACCAAAATCACTTGGTTCCAATGCTCTCATTACCAAAATAGGAAAAAGAAAAACAGTACTCCATGCCGAAACCCGGGATCGGACCAGGGACCTTTAGATCTTCAGTCTAACGCTCTCCCAACTGAGCTATTTCGGCTTCATGTTGGACCTCGTCCTGGCTTGACTGAGATAAAAAAATTGTTCATGTTTTTTTCTAACCATCAGCACATGGCAGTTGTAGCCGGTAGCATCAACCAAGCGGTACTCTGGCCATGAGCTGGCGAAATCAAATTTTATCCAAGTATCAATTGCTTATAATGTGCACTTTATGGCCCAAAATCACTTGGTTCCAATGCTCTCATTACCAAAATAGAAAAAAACAGTACTCCTTGTGGGAAACCCGGGATCGGACCAGGACCTTTAGATCTTCAGTCTAACGCTCTCCCAACTGAGCTATTTCGGCTTTATGTTTGACCAAGTCCTGGCTGGACTGAGATAAAAAAAATTGTTCATGTTTTTTTTCTAACCATCAGCACATGGCAGTTGCTTAGCTGGTAGCATCAACCAAGCGGTTTTCTGGCCATGAGCTGGCGAAATCAGAATTTTTACAAAAGCATCAACTGCTTATAAAGTGCAATTTATGGCCCAAAATCACTTGGTTACAATGCTCTCATTACTAAAATAGGAAAAAGAAGGACAGTACTCCACATGCCGAAACCCAGGATCGTACCAAGGACCTTTAGATCTTTAGTCTAACGCTCTCCCAACTGAGCTATTTCAGCTTTATGTTGACCCGCGTCCTGGCTTGACTGAGATAAAAAAAAATGTTTTTTTCTAACCATCAGCACATGGCAGTTGCTTAGCCGGTAGCATCAACCAAGCGGTACTCTGGCCATGAGCTGGCGAAATCAGAATTTTACATCAGCATCAATTGCTTATAAATGTGCACTTTATGGCCCAAAATCACTTGGTTCCAATGCTCTCATTACCAAAATAGGAAAAAGAAAGACAGTACTCCACATGCAGAAACCCGGGATCGGACCAGGGACCTTTAGATCTTCAGTCCAACGCTCTCCCAACTGAGCTATTTCGGCTTTAAGTTTGACCTGTCCTGGCTTGACAGAGATAAAAAAAATGGCATGTTTTTTTTCTAACCGTAGCACATGGTTGTAGCGGTAGCATCAACCAGCGGTACTCTGGCCATGAGCTGGCGAAATCAGAATTTTTAAAAAGCATCAATTGCTTATAAAGTGCACTTTATGGCCAAAATCACTTGGTTCCAATGCTCTCATTGCCAAAAAGGAAAATATCGACATCAATCGACATGCCGAAACCCGGGATCGGACCAGGGACCTTTAGATCTTCAGTCTAACGCTCTCCCAACTGAGCTATTTCGGCTTTATGTTTGACCTAGTCCTGGCTGGACTGAGATAAAAAAATTGTTCATGTTTTCTTTCTAACCATCAGCACATGGCAGTTGCTTAGCTGGTAGCATCAACCAAGCGGTTTTCTGGCCATGAGCTGGCGAAATCAGAATTTTTAAACAAGTATCAATTGCTTATAATGTGCACTTTATGGCCCAAAATCACTTGGTTCCAATGCTCTCATTACCAAAATAGGAAAAAGAAAAACAGTACTCCACATGCCGAAACCCGGGATCGGACCAGGGACCTTTAGATCTTCAGTCTAACGCTCTCCCAACTGAGCTATTTCGGCTTTATGTTTGACCAAGTCCTGGCTGGACAGAGATAAAAAATTGTTCATGTTTTTTTCTAACCATCAGCACATGGACCTCGTACCTGGCCTTGAGCTGAGATAAAAAAATTGTTCATGTTTTTTATCAAAATAGGAAAAAGAAAAACAGTACTCCATCACCACAGGGACCTTCAGAACTTCAGTCTAAGCTCTCCCAACTGAGTAGCACCTGCGTCAACTGGACAGAGATAAAAAAAATGTTCATGTTTTCTAACCATCAGCACACTCTGGCCGGTAGCATCAACCAGCGGTACTCTGGCCATGAGCTGGCGAAATCAGAATTTTTACAAAAGCATCAATTGCTTATAATGTACTTTATTGCCCAAAATCACTTAATTTACAATGCTCTCATTATCAAAATAGGAAAAAGAAAGACAGTACTCCACATCACGGGATGCCAGGGGACCTTCAGAACTTCAGTCCGGGCTATTTCTTTATGTTGACCAACTGGCTGGACAGGACCTTCAGATCTTCAGTAGCTAGCGGTACTCTGGCCATGAGCTGGCGAAATAGCTCCCAAGTTCTGAAGGTCCCTGGTTCGATCCCGGGTTTCGGCATGTTACTGTTTTTCTTTCTTTATGTTGGAGCATTGGAACCAAGTGATTTTCAATAAAGTGCAAGGATAAAAAAATTATGCTTTTTTAAAATTCCATCAGCTCATGGCCAGAGGCAATACGTAACTGCCATGTGCTGATGGTTAGAAAAAAACATGAACAATTTTTTTTATCTCAGTCAAGCCAGGACGAGGTCCAACATAAAGCCGAAATAGTTCAGTTGGGAGCGTTAGACTGAAGATCTAAAGGTCCTTGGTCCGATCCCGGGTTTCGGCATGTGGAGTACTGTCTTTCTTTTTCCTATTTTGGATAATAAGAGCATTGGAACCAAGTGATTTTGGGCCATAAAGTGCACTTTATAAGCAATTGATGCTTTTATAAAATTCTGATTTCGCCAGCTCATGGCCAGAGTACCGCTTGGTTGATGCTACCGGCTAAGCAACTGCCATGTGCTGTGATGGTTAGTCCAGCCAGGAAAACATGAACAATTTTTTATCTCAGTCAAGCCAGGACGAGGTCCAACATAAAGCTTTTTAAAAATAGTTCAGTTGGGAGAGCGTTAGACTGAAGATCTAAAGGTCCTGGTCCGATCCCGGGTTTCGGCATGTGGAGTACTGTTTTTCTTTTTCCTATTTTGGTAATGAGAGCATTGGAACCAAGTGATTTTGGGCCATAAAGTGCACATTATAAGCAATTGATGCTTTTAAAAATTCTGATTTCGCCAGCTCATGGCCAGAGTACCGCTTGGTTGATGCTACCGGCTAAGCAACTGCCATGTGCTGATGGTTAGAAAAAAAACATGAACAATTTTTTTTATCTCTGTCCAGCCAGGACTTGAGTCCAACATAAAGCCGAAATAGCTCAGTTGGGAGAGCGTTAGACTGAAGATCTAAAGGTCCCTGGTCCGATCCCGGGTTTCGGCATGTGGAGTACTGTTTTTCTTTTTCCTATTTTGGTAATGAGAGCATTGGAACCAAGTGATTTTGGGCCATAAAGTGCATTTTATAAGCAATTGATGCTTTTGTAAAAATTCTGATTTCGCCAGCTCATGGCCAGAGTACCGCTTGGTTGATGCTACCGGCTAAGCAACTGCCATGTGCTGATGGTTAGAAACTGCCATGTGCTGAAAAAAAACATGAACAATTTTTTTATCTCTGTCAAGCCAGGACGAGGTCCAACATGAAGCCGAAATAGCTCAGTTGGGAGAGCGTTAGACTGAAGATCTAAAGGTCCCTGGTCCGATCCCGGGTTTCGGCATGTGGAGTACTGTTTTCTTTTTCCTATTTTGGTAATGAGAGCATTGGAACCAAGTGATTTTGGGCCATAAAGTGCACATTATAAGCAATTGATGCTTGAATAAAAATTCTGATTTCGCCAGCTCATGGCCAGAGTACCGCTTGGTTGATGCTACCGGCTAAGCAACTGCCATGTGCTGATGGTTAGAAAAAAACATGAACATTTTTTTTTTATCTCTGTCCAGCCAGGACATGGTCAAACATAAAGCCGAAATAGCTCAGTTGGGAGAGCGTTAGACTGAAGATCTAAAGGTCCCTGGTCCGATCCGGGTTTCGGCATGTGGAGTACT